AAGGACACAAATATGGCCTGTCAATGAATACAGCTAGGGAGCACCCACTGGACCAGAAAAGTGTGTCCTTCAGATTCAGATAGCAAGAATAAAAAGAGCATGGAGGACCCTTGTCTACCAGCCCTGGTATAGTTAGTGTCCCTGGAGGTGTTTTAGCCTTCTAAGAAGCTCTTGGTTTACTCAAACATACAGCTTCAATCCTACTATCATCTCCTTCCCTCTAACAAGTTTGGTTCCCTAGCTAGATTTACTGTGGGCTCAGAACAAGACAAGGAGGTCTTTCAGTGGTGACAAGATGCTGCTAAAATTAACAGAGGTGGTGAGAACTGCTTTTTCTCTTCTTCCCTGGGCTTTATATTGCAAAGCCTTTCCAAATTATTCAAGGACACCAAAGCTCTGAGCTTATGGCACAGTTCACAACGCTCAGCCCTCCAAGTCCTACCCTGCTTTCTCACTCTCTGTCCGTGGGAGCTTCTGGGAGCTTCCTCTTGTTACCAGAGCTGTCACAACCGACTCATCACTACAACCACTGCCCCAGACCAGGCTGCGTTGTCTCTTTTACAGGACCACATCATGGCCCTCTTCTCCAGGAAGTCTTCCCTGGATGCCATTGTCTGCACAGCTTCACCCTTTCCAAGGGTTCTTCTGACTGCGGGTGTACTCTATACTTAGAGACTCACTTGTCTCTGTGTCAGTCTCTGCCCAAACAATACTTAGAGCAGGAGAGGCAATGAGCTCAGCCTGTACTCCCTGCCCTCGGCAGGCCTAATCAGAGTAGTCACCATAAAGACATGCACTAGTCTCTTGCTTGGGAAAGCCAATTTAGAGACCAGCTCTGTGTTCAGTGTGGTCTCCATGTAACCTTGAGAATCAACTGCTTCTTTCCTTCTGGTCTAAGTTCAGGCCACTGTTCAGCTCCTTGCAGTAGAACACCCTGGCATCATGCTTTGCAGGCACCCTTCTCTCCTCAAAGCCACTACCCACCTCAGTTCACCCCCACTTCTCACCCTCAACTTTTAAGCGTTCTGTTTTCTATTTCCTCCTTGTAGAAATCCTCAAGCCTGGAAGACATTTAACCATCTGTTGCAGTTTGCTGTTCTGGAGCTTTTCGCTTGGTGTGACTTTGCTCTCTAACTAGACAGTGAGTTCTTTGCAGACCTGTCCTCTCTCCAACATTTCCAGTGAGAGATCAGAAGGGCTGGATGAATGCAAGGATGGCTGAGTGGTGATGCCTCCACGCTAAGCCAGGCAAATTCAGGAGGCTGTGCTCCTGGGTGTGTTTTCATACATGACCTTGAATCCTTCCCAGAGTGTTGACCTGGGGCTATAGGCCTCTATTCTGAGGGAACGGATGAATGAACAAAGTTAAATTTGTTAGTAAGTGCATGTGAACATCACTGTATGGGGGTAGGGGAGAAATGACAGTGATGGAAACGGACCAGATTCCTGCTCTCTCACCAAACAGAAAGAGAAGCTACAGGCAGAACAGCCAAAGCAGGTCTGGCTGTGTGTGGTTCAGTAGGTACCAAAAGGAAGGGGGCCGTGGGGGCTAAAAGAAGGAAGTGGTACCTGGAGAGAATTTTATCCTCCCTTAAAAACAGAGAGGAGAAGCAGAGGCAAGTGACCTTATCTTCCCTCAAATACCTTCACCACCACAGGACATCCTGACACCCCCAGAGATGAATCAGCAACAAAGCATTCACTCCAGATCTAGAAAGAAAACAAAAAGCAGTTGCTCCCTGTTCCTCCTTCCATTTGCTATTCTCTTCTCTCTCTCTCTGGATAAAATAATTGTGGCCATGAAGTGGCAGTAGGAGAAAAAGTTTTAAATCTAGTTAAATGTCACTGTGAATAATACTTTGCCCCTCTCTTTCCCTAATTACATTTCTCTTTGATGATCTGAGGTTTAAGGGGGAAAAACACTAACTTAACTCTTCCTAGAATATCAAGGACAAGGATGCCAAAGAGCCAGGCTAATCACATGGCATATATTTTCCCAGGGGCTTTGCTCCTCCGCTCATTCTTTGGAGATTCCATCTGATTTTTTTCAACCCCAACACTCTGCTGTGACAACTGGAATCGTAAGAGCGGCAGCTAGGCACCTTCAAGATGCCAGGCAATGCCAGAAGCTGCTTCAAGTGCTGGTTTCACATGAGGGGACCTAGTGTCCAGGATGTTTCTGAGGGGACCTAGTTTAACTCCCCATACACCAGTCAGAAAAATGGGAAAATAGAGGCCCTCACCATGGAAAGGCTAATCCCAAACCCAAGCAGTGTCACTCTCATGAGATGGGCTACAGAGGAGGGAAGAAGTTCACCTAAGTAAGAAGACATTCTTCCCAGCTTTGGGTAACATGAGAGGCACAACCCAGAGAGGAAGTCCCAAAGGAAGCATGAGGAATAGCATGGTAATCTGAAACATCCAGGTGACCCTTTTCCTTAAATCCCAATTCTTTCACTCACTCCTGCCAAGACACTGCTGCATTGACTTGCATGGTGGCTATTATTAATGATAATAGCATGAATAGCTAAACCCTTCTGGATGATTTCTGTGGACCTTGACTGCTCTGGGGTCCTCATCTGAGCAGTCCCTTCCTTTTCCACCTCCTTTTCCTTCCCAGCTTCATCTCCTCAAGGCTTTGCTTTGATAAGATGGTAGGCAGGGAGAGAAAAGGGAACTCCAAGTCTGGATTATTTTCATTAACTCTCCTGTTACTGCAGAAAACACAGTCTACCCCACAATGAGATCCTGAGATCCAACAGCACTGCAAGTTGCTGTTGGAAGGTGAATTTGAATAGTCATTATCTTCTGCTTGTATGTCCTGGGGTATCCTAGTCAATACACACATAGACAAACACACACACACAGAGAGAGAGAACCACACACAGCACACAATACTAACAAGACATTTGCACACACCTGTCACACACTGTTACACACTAACAAACACTCCAGCTTGCTTACCAGGGGCAAACCCCACCTCATTATAGCATATCAGAGGCACACAAAACACACAGCCACAGTCTATCTCTGCAGATGAGGTTCTGTTCCATTCAAGCAACTTCAGTGATTCTTAGGGTAGTATCTAAAACGGGATAATAGAAACCTGGGAAAAACACACACAGCTCCAAAAAGCAAAGAAAGGAAATTTTCAAATGAGCAAATCTCTACTGTTCTCAGAATTGTTCTTGCTCTTTGGTTGGGGACCCCTTCCTCAGGAAGGAGGGTCTGGACCCAGCTTGGGCCTGGGACTGTCAGCTTCAGGGCTGAGAATCTCTGGGCCCTCCGGCCACATCTGCCTCTGGAGTGTGCAGCCTTCTGGCTGTACCAAACGCTTGGCCGGGTTTTTCAGGCTGTTAGGGTCACGCTTCTTTAAATAAAAATTTAAGCACAACGCCAAGTAATGTAATTCAGGGTTAAGAACAGAGAATCCTGAAAACCGGAAAGTGACCAGCAGGGAAGCTGGTCGGAAGGGGGGAGAGGGGGCTAGGCCAGCAGCTCCGCCTGCCGTCCCAGGTCCCGGCCCTGCAGCCTGGGGAAGAATGGGCGCCTTATTTTAATTGGCCCGTGTCTCCAAAGCCGAGGAAGGCAAACGTAGGAAAGGATGGGGGTGCAGGTAAACACGCCGAGAATGAAAATCGGCTGCCCCGGCCAAGTTCAGCACCACTATTCGCCCCCAGAGGCGGGACGGCTCTTGCGCCTGCCACTCCCTCTCGCGCGCAGCTGAGGCTTCAGCCCCGCGGGCCCGGCGGGAGTCCCGCGCTGCGCGATCTGGGCGGCCAGACCCAGCGCCGGAGACTCCCAGCTTCGCACCTCTGGATCGGGTGGTGCAGGCTAGCACAAGCCGCTCCAGTCTACCTAAGGCTGCATATGGGTTGGCGAAGGTGTGGGGGTCTGGGGGCGAGGAGGATTTCTTTGACAGTGGATTAAGAAAATAAATTTCCAGTTTGCCACAGTAAAACAAAACGAGGGCAAAAACCAAGGCTCTCCCCCGAGCTGGCTCTCCAGCTCCAGAGCCCGGCTCCTTCCTCGTCCGCGGAGGGTGAGCCGGCCGGGGGAGACCTGGCTCCTACCTTCCTCCCTCCAGCCACCGGCCGCTCTGGCTGCCGCTGTCCGGACGGGAGAAGTCGTCTGGGACTGAAACATTCCCTCCCGCCTCTTCAGAGGGCTGGGGCGGAGAACCAAGCCGAATTCTACTCCCTGAGCCTCTGGTGCGGCTCGCGCCGCTCTGCTAGCCCCATGCTTCCCAGGTGGATCCGATATCGGTGGGTGCAGAACAGGAGGGAGAAATTTGGGGGCTGCTCTGGCAGGTTCGAGATGAGAGAGGGGGAAAAAGCGAGACAGAAACAGAAAGCGCGCGCTAGAGCTCCTGTCTATAGATTTATCCACATAATATATATTTATGTATCTCTCTCTCTCTCTCTCTCTCTCTCTCTCTCTCGACACTGATCAATGCGCACTCGGATCTCTGGGCGGACTCCCTCCAAGCCGGCTGGCTTTTTCTAGTCTAAATAAATAAATAAATGGGGCCAGATGGGAGAGAAAAGCGCCCATTCCACCTCCGCCGCCGCCCCGCCCGCCGTCCCTGCCTTCGCCTAGCCCGCCTGTCGCCCGAACAGAGCGCAGCTAAGTGGATAACGCCCCCCTACCTACCCACACGAAAAGGAAAATCAATGCTTTGAAAATACAAAAGGTTGCACCTGCTGCTATCACCAAAAAATATATATAACAATAATAACAACAACAACAACCCCAAAAAGGCAAAGAGAAGAGAGCAGGAGCCCCGGTGGCTGACAGGCACCCTCTGCCCGCGGCTGCGGGGCCCGGAATTTCAGCGCCTCCCAAAGAGCCATGCGCCTGGCGCTATTTATAGCCGGGGGACGTCTCGGACCGTACCACCGCCGCTCCGCGGGGCCGCCGACGGGGGAGGCGCGCGAGGCCGGCGCCGCCCCGGCCGCCCTGCCCCCGGCCGCCGCCTGCCTCCGTGCGCCCCCCCAGCGCGCCCACTCTCGGGCCCGCGCTCCCCTCCTCCTACCGCGCACCCTCGCCGCCCCCACCCCTGGTCTGGCAGGGAACTTGAACCGGTCCAGCCTGTTTAAACCGAAAGGACAGAGATCCTGTCTGTTCAATGTAAAAAAAAAAAAGAAAAAAAAAAAGAAAAGAAAAGAAAGAAAGAAAAGAAAAGAAAGAAAGAAGAAGAAGAAAAAAACCACATCAGACTGAGAGAGAGAAAGAGAAAGAGAGAGAGAAGAGAGAGCATAGAACGAGAGCCCAGAGCAGAGCGAGGTGTAGGAAACCGAAGGGAGAGAACCCGAGTGTGTGAGTGTGTGTGTGTGAGTGTGTGTGCGTGTGTGTGAGTGTGTGTGAGTGTGTGTGCGTGTGAGTGTGTGCGTGTGCGTGTGTGAGCGCGAGCGAGCGAGTGAGGGAGAGGAGCGAGAGAGTGCGAGCGAGAAAGAATAAAAGGAAAGATTTTTCTCTATGTATATAAAGATGGCCACGTTAGCAAACGGACAGGCTGACAACGCGAGCCTCAGTACCAACGGGCTCGGCAGCAGCCCGGGCAGCGCCGGGCACATGAACGGATTAAGCCACAGCCCGGGGAACCCGTCGACCATTCCCATGAAGGACCACGATGCCATCAAGCTGTTCATTGGGCAGATCCCCCGAAACCTGGATGAGAAGGACCTCAAGCCCCTCTTCGAGGAGTTCGGCAAGATCTACGAGCTTACGGTTCTGAAGGACAGGTTCACAGGCATGCACAAAGGTGAGAGCACCTTTCCCTCCCAACTTTGCCGGGGAACAGGAGCGGGGCGGGCTGCAGACCGGCCGGCCGGCGACTGGCACAAGCCGGAGACGGGGCGAAAGCGAGCCGCGGGCGGGCTCCGCGGAGGGAGGCGCTCCCGCAGCAGAGACCGAGCTGGGGTGTGTGGGGAGATGTTCGCCGGGACAAGGCTGGGCTTGGGGCGAACAGCCGATGGAAGCGGTGCCCTGGAGAGAGCAGCGGGGACAGGAGATGAAAAGAAGGAGGGATGAGGGGCAAAAGGGGTTGGGGGGTTTTTTGGATCTAGCGACTTGAAAGATTGGGATGGGGACAGCTGCTCCCCGCAAACCCAGAAAACTGAGCGGACTGGCGGGCGCTCAGCTGGCCCGGGATATGGGGTGCTGTCCATCGCCGTGGTGCTGAAAACACTACAGGAATTGCTCTCCTCCTTCTGCGTGGGCCAGTAGAGCAGGAGTGTAGCCGTCTAAAAGGGAGAGGGGTAACAAATTCAGAGAGGATTTTTTATTTTGCTATCAATTTAACAGTAAACTCTCCCTAGCGAGATGTGTGCCTCAGTAGTCTGCTTGTGGGATGACTGGTGAGAAGGGGCTGGTTTCGATATTTGGAAGAACTGAAAAAAAAAAAAAAAAAAAAACCAAGGCAAGAATTAGCAAGCACAGAGCCATCCCCTGGGTGGAGTGTGGGGACTAGGAACCCTCCAACAATCCCCTTCTCCATTGAGGCAGGAATTTGGAAAAGAATATATGCATGCAAGAGATGCATTTTGAAAGAAAAACCTTAATTTATCCCATACTCACCATACAGGGAGCTTTATAGTACGTTATTTCTCCCTAGAAGCAATAACTGCTAGTGAGTGCCTGGGGAAGATGGGGACACAATAATCAAAGAATTAAAACCTAACAACTTTTCGGAAAGTGGTCATGGGATTGTCTGCAACCTGCCTGTTTTCTCCTTGTTTTATTATCTTTAAGGCATAGCCCCAAATGAGTTCAGTTGTAGAATGTGTGTGGGTGGCTGGTGGGTGACGAAATTAGCCCAGTGCTCCGTTCCCTAACAGTAATGTATAGGATGTGCAGCAGGGATTAATCGGTGCTGGAGCTGTGTGGGCAAGTTAAATGCTTTCTGAGAGAGATTGATGGCCAGGCAAGGGAGGAGTACAGGGCTAAGGAAGTTGTAGGGATGTATGGACATTCCGTTTTTAATAAACAGTAGTGTGGAGAACCAAGAAAGATGCTGTGTGAGAGCTGGCGGGTTTGAAGATGAAAACACACACGTATGCTCACCCCCACACAGAGAGCAGCCTCAGCTTTGGCCATAAATGGGCTATGAACATAACTGATCCTCCGGCACATTAGATGCAGAGAGCAGAGCTGAGTGGCTCTCTAAGCAGCAGAGGATTTTCTCTACCACAACCACCCTCATTCCCTGGCCCTCCCTGCATTCGAATACTGAACAGATCTCCAAAGTCTTCCTAGTTGGAGTCCCAGAGAGCAGTTTTTATTGGCTTTAGCATCTTCCAGCTTGCATGCTGAGGAGTAAATCTTAAAGTTAATGGCATGTTGAGTAGCACACACACACACACACACACACACACACACACACACAAAAAAAACAGCAGAATGGAAATATACTAGATTTGTTGGGGTGGGGTGAGGGTGGGGGCTGTCATGGAGATAGAAAGCAACCTTTATCCAATATGGAGAAAATGTCTGTTCAGAAGAGATTTTGGAAGCGAGATGGGGAAGGCAGGCTTCAAAATAATATTTGGGAAATAGAAATACTTTCTTTTCCCCTCCCTCTGGAGGCAACCATGTCTTTGTAGTTTTTCCCTTTCTAATCAAGCTCCCTGGAAGCTAATCAAGGTTTGTATCAAACCTTTGTCATTCTAATAGGTCCTCAGTTTTAAAAATAGTAATAATAGAATTTTAACAGCATGGAGGAGGGAAGCTGTCCATCTTAACAATCAGTTCTTGTAGTAATTTAATATTTCAAAGTTTAAAAAAAATCAGAACCCACTAGAGGGAAAGACAGTTGTGGGGAGCTGGAAGTTCTATGAGCTCTTATTGGAGCACTTTATTGCTCCCCTATTTCCAGCACAGATAAACTTTAATGCTATTCCATGTTTTCTTCTCAGCAATCTCTTGCTGATACCACCACTTTGTTTCTGGTGTAATTTGAACTCTCTTATACTATAGTAAAGAATTTCTTTTATTTGCATCAGGAAGATGGATAAGGCTTAGTGCACACGCATGCACACACACACACATACACACACACACACACAATATGCGTATTTATACAGGATTCCTAGGACTGGTAAAACTTCATTTCCCAAGTAATTCTTCTTGCAAAGTGGCTCAGTCTGACAGGCAGGACTGCTGGCTCTGGAATACTGAGTGTCTCATTGTTGCCCCTTGCCTTTCATAATGTTGGCATATTTTTCCTTCATGAAAGTTTCTGCTTCTCCATCCTTCTGATTTTTAGAGTCAGGGTTGGCCCACTATGTCCCTGGCAGTACTAAGAAGCTCTCACCGAGCTGAATAAATACAAGCATTTCTCAAAGCTGGTTTATTCAGTATTGGTAGAGTTTGAACTCATACTTCATTGATGCAGTCTGATTTATTAGCTATTCCTGATTTTAAAAAAAAAAAGCCTCTGGCCACCTTTTTTAAAAAAATTACTTGCTTGCCGTTGGTGATTGATTACTCTTAAGTGAAAAAGCATGATGAAGCTTGAAGAATGAATGCTGCATTTGGCTTCTACATCTTCCCAGTCTCTAAACTGACAACGTGAGGATAAGGATGGAACCATGCCTTTGTTAAGCCTGGTTTCAGGGCATATTTGCGGTTCTTGCTCCCCATTTCTTGAGTGTTTAACTTCTAATGAATTACAATGAGATATAATTGAGAGACCTTACACGACACTGACCTCCAGTGTGGCTAGCACGCGACAATATCAGTTCCTGAAAATCAGTAACACCTAGAGGATATGCATGAGGTTTCAGGTGGGTATCCATTTCTTGGACACCTGCCATTTCAGGTAACTGGAAAAGGGAGGAGTTCCAAGGGTTAATGGAATACCTGCCATGCGTAGAGTGCACCTTAAAAGGCAATTACTCCAGTCAAATTGGGAGTCCGTGGAGGAGGGAGTGGGTGGGTGTTGTGGATCATCCCCACCCCCATATCCAGAAAAGGCTGTTCGACTGGGAAGCAGCAAATAGCAGCTGTGGAGTGGGATAATTACTGTAAAGGTAAATTTACCCCCTAGAGACCAGCAAGCAATTGGTGGGAAGGGGATCTGTATGGTAGGCAGAGAGAGAGAGAGAGAAAGAGAGAGAGAGAGAGAGAGAGAGAGAGAGAGAGAGAGAGAAAAGGCTGAATCAAAATCCAAAGAAACAATATGCACAGAAGAAAGCCCACTGTAATGCAAACTCCGGCTAACTAGAGCCTTCTCTTCTCCCCAGTTCGAGGCACTTTTGGAAAGATTGTTTTTTCAGACTCCAAGGAGAAAGACATTGTAGTATTGATCAAACAAGAGAGAGGCCAATTCCCGGGATAGCAGCAGAAATGAGCTGAGGGCCAATTTCGCCTTGTTTTGTAGAATTTTTCTTCCCTGAAAAAGAAGGAACAGGTCACCCACTAGTCTACTTATTTCCTTTCTCATTTTTCTCTTACTTCTCTTTTCTCCTTTTTGTTTCTTGGCGAGCAGAGATGGTGACTAAAGGTACATAAATACACATGCTTACCCATGCTTGTATACACATGCACAAACACACACACACACACACACACACACACATCACTGCATCACACATGAATAAGCCAGAAATTCATTCATAACTTTGGTCCTGTCTAGCAAGATAGGAGGCAGCAAAGACTGAGTTACAGGGATACATAAAGACTAGTGCTCTCTGGATAGCCATATTATAATGCATTATCTTTGAAGTCATTTAAGTCCAATTTAAGTGGTATTTAGTATAATATTTATGAACTAATGTAATCTAAACATAGGGTTGTCCCCAAAGATTTAAACTGCCTTTACCACTGGTGTGCGCTTGTTCTGGGAGACTGCAGTGCATTTTCATCTAAACACCCAGGTCCCCATCAGAGTGCCTCTTATTACTTGATCAGAACAGCTTTGTACCTGGATAACTACTATGCTTTGAGTACCTATTTCATGATCAAAAATCTATTCTAGTGACATCCTGGGATCAGGGCAGAGGGCTTCAAACCCAGGAGCTACTTCTGTAAGAGCAGCAGCTGCCTCTGCTGTCACATTCCATGCAGAAGAAGGGTGGGGACTGAGTATCAGAACCTTCTGTGGATTCGTCTCCAAGAAGGGCATCGTTTTAATATAGCCTCAGCATCAGTGGCACAACCTCTGATTTCAGCTGTGCCTAGGTAGGAAACACCTGAATCCCCTTGATTTATTATGTAAGAGGAAGGAAGAAGAGAGATAGAGGTTATGGTTGTGTTTTGGTAATTTATAATCATCTTCATAAATTACAGTTCATGTTCTCATTTAAAGACACAAGTATTTTTCAGAACATCAAATTTCCACCTCTTGATTTTAACCAAAATGGCTTTTTTTTAATGTTGTGGTTATAGGTGAATTAAAACTGTAAGGCACTATCTAGTTTTCATTTTCAAAATGAGTCTAACACTGCAAAACTGAGTATCAGCATGTGTGTCAGCCCAATGAAGATGAACTTTTTAAAATTACTTTGAAAAATAAAAAGTCAGTTTTGTCCAGAGAAAAAGACTAGCTAAAAAACTTGTTACACACCTACAACTGCTAATAGAAAGGTTTACCTTGTAAGAGAGAGAGAGAGAAAAGAGGATAACCAGAATAAGAAAACAAAACAAAAAATAAATTCTCTAAAATAATTTTACCAAAAAAAAAAAAGCAGTAGTAATCATTTGCAGACTAACACATGTCAAAGCATTTGATGCCTCCAAATTCCACATGTCAATGTGTCCTAT